CGTGCCAGGCGTGAAAGCTTGACAGGTAGCGTAGCAACAGTAACTAGGGAGGGTGGGTGAAGGGTCAATTTCAGTCAGTTTTACAGTTTTATAATTCCACAGTTTTACAGCGTGCATCGCATGCTCATACTAAACTGATATTTTATGAACGTGGCACTTGAGGGAGTTTGCACTGTAGCCTACTCATTACCTTCAACCTCACACAAAATGTCAGGCCCTATAGCCTATAAATATAATTTAGTAAGCAAAAATCTTGATTGAATTGATTATTGAAGAATGCAGTGTGAATTACCCCACCATACTGCTCTTTTTTTACTTCTTCTATGACCACCATAATGGTCATATATCTCTCAGATCACATAGTTCTCTCTCAATTATGTCAGGGTTTTTTTCTGGCTCAAAATGAGGCAGTGGTAGCAAAATCATAACACTAGGGGGGTCTGGGGCCCGGACTCTTAACACACGCCATGTTTGTTGTTTGGCCAGAGGAGAACTGGACCCCCGACTGAGCCTGGTTTTTCTTTCTTCCTTTTGTCACTGATGGAGTTTGGGTTTTTGCCACTTTCGCCTCTGGCTTGCTTTGTTGGGGACACTTATTCTTAATACTTATCGGCCTGCATTGCCAGCATTATGAAAACTGAACTGAGCTGAGAATCACTGTTTCCTGCAGAGCTGCTTAATGATAGCACTCTTAATGCTTATTGCCCACTCAAGTTATGGCCCCATAGAAGCAGTTTTTATAAAAATAGGCTAACGATTGCTCATAACATGCAACTCTCTGTCGCACAATAGAGAAATTACCGAATAGACAGGAAGAGAAACTTGCGTGCAATCAGGGGGACATGGAGGTATAAAGTTGAGGGAGAAGCCCATAGAGAGTCATAAAGTTGCTCCTGCTGCTGTTCATGGACAACTAATACTCACAATCTCCGACTTTGCAAGATTCGAAAGGGAATGATTCAGATTCCTCTTGGCACAGCTACTAGAAGACGTACAGGTTTCTCACGTCACATCTACGTCGTCAAGCTGAGTTTGAGCCTGCGCAGTGCGCTCCGCAATCAGTGATTGGCAGAACTTCCATATAGTTCTGCCATCTTGTGAAACTATAATAGCAGAGAGGGACAAAAAGTACTAGACCAAGTATTTTCCACAACGTGTTTTCGTTCAGAGCTAGCGTGACGTGACTTAAAGCAGCAGAAACAGACGCTTGTCACGGCCCCGGCAAATATGAAAGGCTGCATTGCAAATCCTCTTCGCCAGGAAAGTCCAAAACAGATTGTAAAAGGAAACATGACCGGAGATTTCAAAAAACAGGTGGATCTAATGCAGGAGAAAGATTGAGACGCTGAAGTCCTGCTTTCTTCTTGACAGTTAAGTCAGTGTTACATGTCTTAATTACAAGCTTTTTTTTCATTGTTTGGTTATGTACTTTATTTTATAGACAGATAACATTTATACAGTTATAGTTTAAAGTTGATGATGATATTTAACAATGCACATACTTTAGAAAATATAACGAATAAAGAAGGCATAACTACTTTATTACAATAGTTCATGTTTTTCAAGTTGCTGTTTGTTTGAAATAACAAACCTGTTCACCCGAAGGACAGCCCATTCTCACTCCCAAGGCGTCACCTAACTGACGCCTTGGGAAGCATTTGGACATGCTTCAATATCTGACGCTTTAGGCGCCCTTTAGCGTCAGTTAGATGACGCCCTAGGATCGCGTGTACCCTACCCCCACCCCACACCTAAACCTAACCGCGTCCTCTAACAGACGCTTTCCTTTAGCGTCAGTTAGATGACGCCGTAGGATCGCGTCATGTAAGTGACGCTAAAGGGCGCCTAAAACGTCAAATATTGAAGCATGGTCAAAGGTGACGCCTTGGGGTGAGAATGCGTTGCGAAGGAACACTCGACGAAGTGCTATTAGAAGGCATCCTGTCATAGCTTTTTGGTACATAATTGCTACCATAAATGCAACGCACATTTGAAAAATTGAGGCGCTGGAGAGCACAATTTGTTTGAATGCAAAATAGATTTTCACAGCTGATCTGGAGCAATCTCTTTTTTTTATACATTTTTGAAAGTAAGTCGAAAATATCAATCCAATACTTGTGAAGGTTGCAACATTTCCATAGTGAATGTAAAAGTGTACCTTCTGCAACCTTGCAATTATGATGAAATGAAAATATATTCAAATGTGCAGCCCAGTAGTATGCTTTAAAGAAAGGAGACCCAAATCATATTCACAGGTAGATGAGAGAAATTCCTACACATTAACCCTAACCTAACCCTTTAAAGCAAATAAGTGATTAAAAATCGAACACCCAACAATGTGTAATTTCTTTGCATCTCGTTTTGAATACATAT